ATATATAAATACACAAAAAAACACCAGTTTTCCAGCCAGAAAAGTGCTTTGAGGTGGACATAACTGGAGAGGCCCCAGTACACAAGATGCATCATTTTAATCCATTACTGGCAATTTCCAACATCAAATCTGTGTTGATGCCCAATTTACAACAAATACAACTGTGAACTTTCCTCATCTACTTACCATGTTCAGATATTCAGATGGTCTCCAAAAAATCTCCAAAGAAAACTATAATTCATATTTCATAAAATTATATTTACAAGATTAACATCCTTGTACTGACAATGATAAGAAATTTGGCTGAAAAACAACGTGCATTTTAAAAAGCCTTTTGCTTCGATTGCTGGGCTCATTGCTGTGCCCCTCCTCCCTCCAACGGTGCTTTGATCCGGCTGGGAGGGGGGGGGGGGTTGGACTCCCCTGGCTAATAGCCACGTGCCTCTCGCCAAGAGGCAAGTAAGCGAGCATGACAGGCGCGCCGCTTTCTGCCGATCAGCAGCGTGCTCTCTGAGCACCGGCGTATCTCGGAAGCGCAGCACTTTCACGCCGTGTCATCATCCGGCATCTTGCATCAAGGGCACCCGCTACACGCTGATGCCCACCTCTGTGTTTCAGGGAGATGAAGAAGTGATGAAGCAATGATGAAAGTTCAGCTTCCAGGGCTGGCGTGTGCTTTATGGGTATGGGGGGCAAACACCATGCGCCAAAGACATAACCCCCCCCACTGCCTCATGCTTCAGGTTGAGGCTAAAAGACGAGACCAAACCCATCAAAGTTAAGTAACAGAGAAGCAACTTCCTGATCAAGCCTGGCATAAGAAGGCACCTAGTGAGGCCTAGTAGGAGGCGCGCCTGGTCTCCAGGACCTCTGATTTGTTTAGTTCACCGTTTAATCCCATACACTAGTGGTTCCCACCCCTTTGACTGGTTTATTTCATACAAAAATTTCATGGACCAGTAAAGTGGTCGGCAGGTTATGCGGGAATGAGGTGGGGTAGCGGCAGATCGATTGGAGATATTTTTCAGATGCAAACAGAGCACATGAACGTCAGGGGTCATAAACAAACAAATAAAAAAATATACCGTTTATTTTTGGAAATGAACTAAGCCGGTATATAGTGGGCACTGAGCAGGAGTGGGAACTCACACTCTACTCTATGCTGCCATCAAACATGTTACTTAAGAGTGAGAGGCTGGGCCTCAAATGCCAGCTGAGTCGAGTCACCGGAGAGGACTAAACAGCCAGTGGCCCGTGACATTTTACCGAAAACGGCTCCGGCAATCGGCACTGATCCCGCGTGCTTGAAGCTCATTACCCCAAGTACTACTTCACCCCCATGAAAACATTCATGCCCAAAAGGATCAGAGAAATAATCCATCCATCTTTCAAGCACTTACCGAGTACAGGGTCACCAAGAGCCTCAAGCCCATCATAAGAAGCACAGAGCACAAAGCAGGGGACACCCAGGACAGGACTGCAGCCCATCGCAGGGCGCACACACACACACACACACACACACACAGGATTGAAACCCTCCAACCCTGAAGGTATGCGGTGACAGCACTGCCCACTGAGCCGCTGTGCTGCCAGACCAGACAAATAATAGGAGGGCTAAATGTACAAGGCACTGCTTCAGTGATCCTGGGGTTGGCAGCCAGATTCTCCATTCCAAAACCCCAGTGGCAGTATAATTAGTTTAAAAAGTTGGGAAATGAGGGTTACAGGAATGGGTGTGGGCTTTATGCCACACTACTGCTGTATACCAGGGAGAGTAAGTGCCTGATACTGCAGGCAAGTAAATCAGGTTCACGCTCAGTGAGGTATCCAGGTCTGGTCGCTGTCTTACTGCATGGCAGTAGCCAATAAAAAGGGTTTTCAGCTAATGAGCAGTGGCTGGGTCAGACTGCAATCTCTGTCAGCCATTTATTTTTGATGATAAAAATCCCATTGTCATTACGTGCAATGTGAAAAAAAACGTGTAAGTATGAAAGTATACAGTGAAAAATGAAGTGTGCTGGCCTGGGGTATCAGCTCTTCAAAGAATCGAGTGATAATGAAGTCACCCAGAGAGAGGGGGCTTCTGTCAGAATGGCTGTGAAGCGGCAACTGTTACACGCCTACGCAGTTCAATTGCAATAACGGAGTGAAATAAACCCAACTGGGCGAGAGACGGCTTCAAATACATGGCCGTGTGAAACATCCATGATTACTTAAATCGACAGTCGTGTACAGATAATCTATTATATTGGCACGGACCCCTCCCCCACTCTATTTAACTCATTTTATTCAATTTTTAACTTTATTTAACTTGCCTACATCTAGCCTCCTATATAGGAATGAATATAGGAATGAGAAATAGGTCTGATAACACATACATCATAACAGGGAAAGCTTGATTAAATGATCAGCAGTAATACAAATTAACTTAGACATGCGTCTGTATGCTTTATATGCTAAATAAACCGTGACAAAATATAACTCAGTCCCAGATGGCAAATAACCTCAGCCTGAACCTAAAGTGGCACATGACACGTTCACGGTTGTAGAGGAGTGCCCCCCCAAGCATGCTCGTTTGCTATGACGGCTCTTCATCGCCATCAACACTAGGTCATGTGATCCAAGATCAGCAAGAAGACAGAAGACGGAGGACGTGGCTTTCAGCAGCAGTCAGTCTGCGTTGCAGGCATGGATCAACTGCTAGAAATAGGTGCAGGATAACTCTTAAAGCCGAACAGCACTACAGCCCACACCAACAGGGAGAAAAGCAACGGAATGGCCGAATTCATTTATGTGATGTGCAACACAGGGGGAGTTATTTGTCTTTGGGATTTTGTTTGATTTTCATTTAGAGGAATGAAATAAAAGAAATGCCCAGACTCATGGAAGATGAAGGACCTCATTCGATTAGGGCACGTAATTGGACAACAAAAATGCAGCTACTAATTAGAAATATATAAATAGTCCTTGCTCTACAGACATCTCTAGCCTGTATGTTCTTTGAACCTGCATTCTTCTGAATCGTGATTTGGTTCAACATTTTTTAAACTCCCCTAAGCTGAAACAAGCACCAAATGAATTTCCTATTGGCCCTTACTCCTAGCACCTACATTTGAACAAGACAAGAAGACCTTGTGGCTGACGAATCTTTCGTGATTGCCTGTAATGAAGGCCAGTCCCGCAGCAAGCTCCCGGCTTTGTTTTTAAAGTGGGAAGTGATTTTAGCACCAACAGCGGCTGCCACAACTCTACATCATCCTCATCTCCATAGCAAAGAGTACCGTGGCAACCTCCTGACCAAGAGCATACACCTGAAAACTATATGGATGCATTCTACATGCATGCCATTAAACTCTATAACTCAACTGCCTATGACAGACCTGTGATGACTATCTAGCATTAAACATAACATAAGGGCACCAATACACCTGTCTGTATCATGCCAAACATCTGCAAATGACATGAAAATGGCACGTGGAGGGGGGAGAAGAGGGCGGAGTGTAAGACCTTGAGCAACACAACACATCGAAAGGATGAGAAAGAGTCACAAAGGCATGGTGCCATTTGTTATGAGGCTTATTCAAAAACACTGCAATTAAGGGAGCCTGATTACGGGCAGGCGGCTAATGTGCCCATCTCACTCCCCCTCTGGGGCGGCACCGCGGGCATCCATCAAATGCTCATCTGCCACGATCCATTTATCGATCTCCGCTAAGTCGTGTTCCGGGCTTATCAGGGATCATTTTACCCATCAGGATGCCGTGATCAGGAACTTCTTACAGTGAGAAATGTAGCTTATATATCTCTAGGTTTACTGGGTTTTTTTTTTCAGATAGGGGAAGGACATTCAAGGTGCTCAAAGAAATGGATATGTAACAGATTCAATGCAAGCTACCAGTGCACCTCCAGTGCAGTTTGACAAGTCAAAAGCAAATCGATCAGGTCTTGAGTTTCTAAGGCAGTAAAAGTGGCCAACCCAAGTTCAAGGACCCTGAAACAGTCAACGTTGCCACTTTGAGTCATGAGCCAACTATGAGAGGCAGTTCTAGACTGCTGTAGCTCCTTGGCTGGGCAAAGCAGGAGAAAAATGAAAAACAACAGATAAGATAAAACAAATAAAAGCAATATCCATTCTGAAGCAGAAGAAATTGAAATCACTCCTGAAAGCGTTCGATTCACCAGAAGCTCAGGCTGCTGCAGCCTGCACAGAATTTCCACTCGACAGCCTGAATAATTAACTAGCCTCCAGTGTCAAAGATAATAAAGATTCTGTGAAAATCCTGTGAAATAGGTGTCCTTGAGGGGGGGAAAATGCAGTGGGAGAAAGGATTGGGTTTAAATATGCCACTACTACAAGCGAAAGTCTAGAATTCCTTCCTAGTCACAGTTGTTCTACAGTTCATGGAATTAGCAGGATATGCACGACTAGCTTAACCTGCAGAAGTTGCCAGTGGTAAATGAGGAGCATTCCCCCTCATCTGCTGGAGTTTACTCAGTGTTTACAGTGCCGGTGACGGTAAACAGCCAGTGCTGTTCCTGTTTTCCTTACCAGTCTTTGCTCTCATTGGCAGCGCGACAGAAACAGGAAAGGTTTATTTACTATTGTTCTTGATGGCGCAGCGGACAGACGATTATGTGAAGCTTTCCAGAAGCTTCCCTGTTATGCTAATCACTGGAAAGATGACTGAAATAGGCCAAGGAAGTCCTGCAGCTTCTGCTCCCTTCACATACATGTATATTATATACATGAAAACCCAGAAGTTACTCATGAACAGATCTCTACTGTAAGTCTGACTTCTCAAGACAGACAACTGAGGCTTGGTTACGCACATGATTAAGCAGACATCAGAAAAGTCTAGTTCTTTAGTGTCTGGCAGGATTAACAAAAACTAGACAACAAATAAAACTGAAGTACAAGTACTTCTGCGAATAAAGGGCAGAGGCAGCAGGTCCCCCTGAGAAGCTGGATGGGGAAGCTGCCGGCACTCCGCAGGCCTTACCTTGGCCTTGCCGGTGCTCTGTAGGATGTGCACGAGGGCGCATGCCATCTCCTCCTTGCTCTTGACGCTGAGCACGGGCTCTAGCACGGAGCAGAGCAGCATGTAGCTGTTGGTGACGTACTCGGCGAACTCCTTGTACAGCTCCATGGGCAGAATGCTCATGCTCTGGTAGCGAGCCTTGATGCGGATCATAGGGCCGGGAGCCTTGCCCTTGTTGGGGTTCGGGGTGCTTACAGCGTACCACTTCTCGACAAACTGCCGGCCTGTCACCGCCAGGATAGGGATGTTTACCAGCCCTATATAGTTGTTCTTGTCCTTCTTCTTCTTCTTGTCTGTCTCCTTGTAGAGGTGCACCGTAATGTTTTTAATGGCCGGCAGGTTGTTGAACTCAAAGTGCTCCCCCCAGAAGACGTTGTCAGTTTTGAGCTTGCATGTAGTCCGTGCGTACAGTGCATCATCCAGGCAAAGCTCGCAAAAGTACTTCTTCTTGGTCGGAAGGTCCTTGGCCTCGATGACCCACAGTTTTAGCATGTTTTCAATACGCCAACTATTGTCCTGTGAAAAGGGAAAGAGGGAGTCCTTTTCTGGACCAACTCAAAACAGAAACAAAGCAACATCAGATTTTCCAAGCTAAACCTTATCTATCCAGCCATCCATTCATCTTCCAACTGCCCATCCAATACAGGGTGGCAGTAAACCTGGAACCTATGCCAAGAACCACAGGGCAGGATGCCAGTCCAGGGCTCGCAAAGTATCGGTAATTTAGAAACAATTTACCTAACTGCAAGTCTTTGGATTGTAGGAGAAGAGGTTAACTTCTCTGAGATATACTTTGTAGACAAAAAACACAAAGGACATCCAAAGAAACCTTTGTCACGTCAAATGCACCAAAATTAATTCATAAAAACAAATACTGCTCATTTTAAACGTATCAAAAATGAATTCATAATGACAAACGGATCCGCTTCCTAACTTGCAGGACAGTGAAATGCGATAAAGTACGAGAATTTAATATCATTGAAAAGTGCTGCTTTAAAGTCACATATATATATATATATAAATGACTGAACAGGGCACTGAGGGGTAGATTTATCGCTGAGCCAGGGGAACATGATGCAGATGACAGAGCAGAGTACTTTTCTAATTAGCCAGCAATTTGTAAACTATGAATGTGGCACTGTCAAATTAGCATTCTGAAGTAAAAGAAAAAGGCAGCATGATACATTTTTTGCATAATTGTCTGCATGCGCGCTTTTAGAGCGGGTTTGGCCTGCTTACTGGGCTTTAACAGAATGCGCCCGGTACTTCCTGACAGAGAGGGGTTTCTATCCATATGGCTGAGCCTGTCCCTACCGTGTTACCCGCCTACTCCATCATTGGGGTTACCTGACATGCCACCATCACTGGGGTTACCCGCCTACTCCATCACCGGGGTTACCTGACATGCCACCATCACTGGGGTTACCCGCCTACTCCATCACCGGGGTTACCTGACATGCCACCA